TGGGCAATATCTGAGATTGGACTAGATGAGGAGGTCTTTTCCAATCTTAATGATACTATGATTCTATGAAACCTCATGGAAAAAACAAAACAAAACAAAACAAAAACACGCAGTGTCCAACACTACCCAAAATTTTATTTCATAGGTTTATTTATTCTCCAGTTGTTTACTTCAGGATTATTTCTTGAGGACTTTGTGGTAAACTGTGCTAAGAAGAACCTGGAGGGGAAGATGCGGTTTGGCTGAGAGAAAAGATTTCCTTTCAAAGCTTTGCTATTAATTTTTGGAGCAGCAAGATTTCTTCCTCCAAGCACGTAACGTGTGACAAACCTGTGGCTGGTGAGCATGGCTTGGTAATGTTGTGGAGGGCAATATAGTCTTGGTAGTGTATATTCAGCATTTTGTGCTTCTCTTGCAAAATTCAAATTATTTTCAGAGCCTTGTTGTTGCAATCTGAGCAATCAGCTGTGAGATTGCAAGTGCTGATCCTGTTTGCCCTGGGCCACGTGTATGTCCTATGCTCATTCTTAAGTGGACAAGCTGTCTAGACCATCTCCTGTCCTCTAGTCTATTTCAAATCAGCAGAACTGTGACTTCACACTAAATCCATTAACCAAATTTCTTGAGTCCTACTATTTTTTTGCTTGTGCACCGAAGGCCCAGTTTAACCTTTTGCAATAAATAAACACTCCCTAGGATATTGCCCGAAGTCTCTGCCTGGTTAGCAATTATTTAAATACTCTGTTATGAAAAGGATCAAAGCCTTCTCTTATTGAAACACTTCATTCTCAATGCCAGAAGTTGCCATCTCATGACAAATGGATTGCCTGTTCTCTTCTTCACACACAAGTGTGCTCCAACCAGCCAGAGCTGGGCAGCCTGTGGGATGGGGAGTTCAATTAATAACGGCGTTTAATTTCTACAGTGAAACACTTAGAGCTGGATGAATATCTGCCTCCAGTTGTGAGCTGAAAGCAGCTCGGTGCTCGGGAAGAACGGCTCCATCAGCAAAAGGCACGGCTGCATGCACCGCGTGGCGCCCAGCTGTGAGCTCAACAGCACGCGTCTCCCAGAGTTGCCTGAAATATTTCAGTTGGGTCAATTTTTCTCAGTTACTTAGCAGCGTAAGTGTCATAGTTCCTCCAGCTGATAGTAGCTATGGAAACCGTGACATCATTGCCGACATAGCGATACATGAAAATTCAAATGGCTGGGGACTGGTTGCTAGGAGAGCTCTGCTCAGGAAAGTCATTGGGCAGGCAGCCAAGGGACTGGAGTCTACTGAACATGTTGTACTTCACCCTGGTGATTTTACCCTCCTCCTCCTCCTATTTTCCCTTTCATATGCAAAGCTACTGATTTTTCTTCTTTTTCCTTTTTCACTATATTCACTCTTAACATTATCTCAGAAATCGTGGCAATGGGCTATTGAGCTGGTGTTGTATCTGCACGTTACCACAATTTGTGCAAGGTCATGAAAGGAGTCACACACTGTAGTTACGATCAAATAAAAGTCACTGTCAGCCACCTTCTCATCATCTAGGTTCTTGTAAGTGTTCATTTTTGATCAGTTTCTGGTAAGGATTTTCCACTAAGCTTTACGTATACACAAATTCATGGAAAATTTATTACCAAAAGTAATCAGAAATGACAGTAATCTGAACGAAAGATGAGGGGTAATATCTGTAGTGGGTAAAACCTCGTATTGCAGCCAGTCTAAATGTGGCAAATTAAGTGTTTCCCAACACTCAGAGCTACACCTGCTTTCTGGAGAGCTGGCACTTCTCTGTTAGTGGTTTTGGACCACCAGGGGTTGGGGGAAAGAAGTGAGGCAAGTTTTGTTGGGTGAAATGTTGGTTTTGGTGAGGCCAAAATTGTTTGTTAGACCAAAATTAGTTAGAAAAATCCACCAACTGAGCTTTCAAGCATGCAAATCCTTTTTCAGACTCTGAGAAGAGTTGATGAAGCAGCTCCTTTGTTCTGTCCAGCATTGCTGATTGGGCTAATAAGGGATCTTGCATGCAGATTCGGTCACTTGCCACTGCATGCATCTTCCCTGTGTGCATCTTCAATAAATGCACCACTCATTTGTCCTTGCTTTAAATATATAATTATACATATTATACTATATTGTATAATTATATGTAATAAATATATATATATATTTCACCCAGATAGAGATGTAACTCGTAAAGGAATTTATCCAGGTAGGTTTCCACATGATCACCCAAGTACAAACAAATGACAAGAGCTTAAGAAAGGCAGTATTCATACTGAATGGTCCTGGTAAATGACCAAATAATGAAAAGGTACTGGGTATCTTTGCCTAGCAGTTACCCATGGTTTGGTAGAGGATTTCTATTTGTTTGTTTTCCTAGAAACTAAATATGCAAAATCCTTAGAATGAAAGAGAAACTCAGAAAAAAAAAAACAGAAAAAAAAAAGTCATTGATTAACTTATTTATTCTGTAAGTATGTAATTCTTGAGAAACATATACACATGAAACACTTCCCACAGCCCACAGTGACAACCCACACAACTCAAAAGGTGCACATGAACATTAAATGAAAATGAAGTTATTTTCATTTATGTGAAGTGGTTTGTGACGTATTAAACAACTAGCCCGTTCTGGCCCAGAGGCAGCTGTGATTTCAGCTATGCATAGTTTTGTTTTTTTTTTTCACGTGTACAGAATGTGTGTTAGGGGCTGATGTCTTCTGACAAAGAAAATTTTAAAATAAAAAAAGAGATATTCTGTCATGCAAGGACTGCTCGATGTGTATTTTACTTTTTTCCTTGCACTGTTATCCCTTCCAAGTCTTCCTTGTCCTGCTTGTAGCAGAACCTGTTTTCTTTGCCTTGAAATACCATAGTTCACTGAACTGAACTTTAGATCTCCACTGACGTGGATACCTCGCTCACATATTGACACCTAAACTCAGCCATCTTCATTTGCAAAACTCTCCAGGATATACACAGAACCATCATGTTACTATTTTATAACTCATTTCTGTCTCAATATATCAACTGCGATGAAGAAAAAAATAAACATAAAACTGGACCAGACCCCTTAGATGTAGAAAATGTCTCTTCAACAGCCCTTCAAGAGCTCAACTTAAGGAGTTAGCATATTGTGTCCAAGCTGGCAGTGCTACCCGAGAGACTCCCAGAAGTCGAGTCCCTTGTTTGTGGTCCTGGGTCCTGGACTCAGCTCAAGAGCTGCAATGCACAGTTTAATCTAGATGGATCTGTTCCTGAACTACTTTGATCCCTGTGCTTAGGTATCTCCGCAAAGTTCCCTTCCATGAGTGCAGTGGGCATGTGAACATTGTTTCCATGTCTCTAAATTGAGTAGCATTGATGAGCAAGTCAAGGACTTCACGTGCGTGCTGTTGATGATTCCCTCGTCAATTGGTGCCTCTGGCAAAAGTATTTGAGTTACAGATACTTTGATCATTTTTCATCTGCATACTATGTTGCTTGAACTGATTTAATAAAAGCAGATTAATACATATGCTCCATGAAATTTTCCATTTATTAAAAAGATACCATTTTCATTTGTATTCTGGCTATTCAACTGATTTCTTCTTTACTTTTAATTGTGCTCCCCCAAAAAATGAGTAGAATAATTAGTGATGGATATAGAAAGAAGCAGAAAACCCAGGGTTTTCCCTGGACTTATACGAACTATTTTTGTATAAACAGTTGCAGCAGAGGCATTTGGTAATTTTCCTCTCAAACTTCTCCTTCGGGGAGAGATAGAATATTGTACAGGTGTAAATGTATGCTTTGGGCTATTTAATCAGGCTAAGGACAGAAGTCATGGTGCATCCAAGACAAATGTGAGCAGACTTATGGATCTGGGAAGGATATGAGACTTGGGGTTCTTGTGGACCATGTAGGGTACACCATCATTGTAACAGGGAGTAAAGGTGGTTTAAATGGCTTTAATTAGGGGAAAAACAATGTCGGTGAAGGACAGAAGTAGATAGTTAATGATGTGCTAACAACATCTCTTCAGAAGATATGCTTGTAACTACATTACAGGACACTGGTAATGTGCCATAGATGTTGCACCTCCCACCCTATCTTTGCTGGGTGTGAGGTCCTCTTGAGATCAGAGCCAAGCAGACGTGGGAGAAGGGAATGTGTCTAGGTTGGCCATGGATATATGGAGTGATGTATTTGCTGGATGTCACCTTGTCATCTAGTAGTTATTGGTTTTGTATCACTTTTTGAGAGGAAGGTAAGATTGGTTTGAAAATCCGTATTGTTCTGCCTCCAGTGCAGCCAGCACTGATTTACCATTGTCTTCCAGCGGACTTCACAAACTTCACTTCTCTCATTGTGATACTTTAGCCTGCTCAGTCTCCTGACCTTCTTTTTTTCCTCTTGTGTAATTTGATGATTGCACAGGTAACTCCTACAAGTCTGTCTGAAGATGTTGTGTCTTCATGGGTATTCCTAGCTTATCTTTAGGGGATGTGAAATACTTTGGACAAGTTGATACCTATTTGACTGTCATTTTAGCATAATGAATAAGGATTATTCTTTAATCATCTTGTTGGACAACAAGACAGAGTTAACCAACATCTTATTTTCATAAATACAGCTTGAGTAGTATTTGAACTTTACTCCCCTTAAATAAAGTAGGCATTTCACTATCCATCAACATTTTTGGCTAACTTCCATGGGAATTTAAAGGTGTTAAATTAGCTACAGGAGGGTTTCATTATTGTACTCTAAGTGTAATGGGAACAGATTTAAATTTACAAGGAGAAAAAGGTAATAATTAAAAACTGAACATAAGGACAATAAAGAAGAAAATGGGTTCCCTCAGACTGACATAGAAAACTTCATGAAAAGTGGAGTTCCTGCTGTGTTTTTTTCTAGAATGAGTAAAAACCCGTTATCTAATGGTGATTTTCTTGTGGCAGATTAATTGCTTGTGACTTCCATGGATTTTACAGCCCATAAGGATGGTCCCAGCGTTGTTTCCATTCATTATTTCATGGAGAGTTATTTTTCTCCCCTTCTTGTTACCAAAACTGTATACAAATAAACAGAGGTGTTGGTGAAGATTTTGTGAGAGTTACTAATGTGCTGGATCTATCAAAGCTTAAGAATTTAAGCTAAAAATCACACTTGGTCCCAGTTCCTTCCCAGATTTCACCTATTTTCCCCTTCCCCATAGTGTCACATGAGACTCAGGCATCCCTTCTGTCCACTGTATATCCCCATCTGCACAAAGTCTGTGGGCCATTGGAATGTGGTGCTGTGATCTACCTAGATGACAATTTATCTCAAAACAACGCTTTCTGAATTTCAGTGCGATCTTCCAGCTTGCTTCCTTCCCTGAAGAACCTACTGCTCATATCTTTTTCATCTGTCCAGTCTCATTCGATCCCTCTTTCTCTTTTCTTGCAAGCCACCAGTTTGCTGTTGTTCTTATTATTTTGGACTTCTACATTTGCTCCAACTCTTGCCCTTTTTTGTCAAATAAGCTGTTGAATTATGCTGCCTTAAGGACCATCTCTATTCCAATTTCTCTTTATTCAGCCATTCTCATTGAATTTTTTCATTTCTCTGAACTTCCCAATCCTCAGATTAAATTGCCTCCTACTTTTTTCCACTGCTAGTCTGTTTTCAGGCAGGTAATATAAGCTCAATGTCTTCAGGGACAGCTAAGCCAATACGAGGAACACCAGACTGGTCTATTGATGAGAGTGAAGTGTCTATGATAATAAGGGAGTTATTCAGGCAGCCTCTAGGGAATTTTTGAAGGGAAGAATAATTTCAAGCTTGTAGGAATGCGTAAAATGGGATACAAAGCAAGATGGACTTAATAAAGTTAAACTCAGAGCTTACTTCTATAAGATAAAGGTGTTTACAGAAAGGTGGTATACTGGAGCTAATCTCTTAGGGTCACTCAAGGCCAGTTTTGAGCTATATCTTCAAGTGATTCAACAACTGATCCAACTGTTCCTTCAACAAAAGAGGTCTGAGCGACGAAATGGAAGCTTTTTTTCACAGCATACGTGACATTTTTGGCCCCTGTTCCAGTAAGGATTGCATGTCATCTTGTTCAACGCTCTTCTGCAAATGAGCTGTTGAAAAACACGGTTTTCCTTCTTGTTTTGGAGAAGGACAACAAGAAGTTGAAAGATTTTCAGTTTCAGCTTAAATTACAAAAGGAGGAAAGAAGGAATGGGAAATCTGCTATTTACTGTTACTTTTTTTTCCTGTGTATCAACATACGTGACTAAATGGCACAATCTGGACTCAAACACTGATTATCAAGGATAGATCATTTCTGAACACAAAAGAACACAACTTGATTTGGGGAAGTTTCAAGCAGACTTCTTGGTCGTTGGCACAAGGACTTGGTGTTCACGGAGAGTAAAGACAGTGAAGCTGGTGCCATTCTCAAATGAAACCACTGGCATTCTGCAGAGCTGGAGATGTGTTTTTCAACACTTCGCTCATTAAGAACAGCTTCTATCCACCAGCATGTTAATCATTAGCTGTAGATGGCTGGAGGGGAAGAGGAATGTGTTGAGGTTCTAGCAGAACTTTTATGTGTTAAAGTTGTTGGCTAGATAAGATACGGCAGAAGATCAGGTTAAAGGCTGTATTTGAAATATTTTCAGTGGCTCTGCAGTTCAAAAGAGCCATTCAGACTGCTGCTAGTGCACGCACCCTTACGTCAACCAGAGGAGGGAGGTATGCACCTTGTAGAGGTCTTCTAATTCACTATTCAACAGTAACTGCTTTTCTCCATTGGCTGGGTGGGGAACATGAGGATCTGGCCCCAGGGTTATGGAAGTCTCAATTTCTCTTTGATGTCTTGAGTTCTGGTTGCATACTCTGTGCTTTAGTATCTGAAAGTGATCATCACTCAAGGTTTGGAGGGTTAATCAGCTTGATCCATAGAATGTCTTAGCTCGAAGGGACCTAAAGATCACCAACTTCCAACGTCCCTCCTACAAGGAGGGTTTCCAACCCCAAATTAGGCTGCCCAGGGCCCCACCCAACTTGGATCCAGAGCAAGATGACTTCAACCTAGGAAATCTGTAGACCCAGATCTTGTTCTGCTGTCTCCCATAGGCCCTTTCAGCTGCCATTTAATGCTCCTGGCTCCAGTTCTCTTACACACAGTAAGAAGGCAATGCCTCAAGCCACTTTTACATCTAATGGGAACATGGAACAAAGTCACATAATGGCCCTACTGACATCACAAATGTGCCATGTATGCCACCAGCAGCACAGTTGATGCAACAAATCCATCAGCTTGCATTCAAACCATCCATCTCCTAACACGCTGAACTTTTCCAAACCCATGTTACTGGTGTGAGACTCAGTAAAGGTGACTGTTGTTCGGTAGAAAGCCTAGAATTATTTCACTTTGCAAAGTGTTTCAGTCAGCAGCCAACCAAACTCATACTGAGCATTCAGCATTTTATTTTTTTATGCAGAAATAAATGGCAAAATTCCCATGATCTTCAAAGGGAGACTACTGCCCAGAGTACGTATGTAATGCATTACTATTAGATGGAAATACTTGCTGGGCTCTGTTATTGGTGAGATTCAGAGTTTTATTTTTAACTGCTGTATTTTATTTTATGTCATTTTGGCTCTGAAGAAAACCTTTTCAATTTGTTCTGGGAAAGAAATAAAATCTGGTCCAGGACAGTTTAAACTACGGTCTCTGCCCACAACATGAAAATCCAGAGATTTGGATCAAACTGTATTACCAAACACAGACCTGGGGAAGGAAGATTGGTGGTGAGCTCAGTTCTACTTTGCAGCACTGATCTTGTTTTCAGGAATAATCTCTGAACATTGCAGACTGGATCTCTGCTAAAAAAACAGAGGTGAGTCTGTTGGGAAAGAAGCAGGCCAGAGAAAATAGTTGAGGTGATTAAGTGAAGCCATCCTCGTGAAGAAGGAGGGCACAAACAATTGCAATGTTCTCTGGTGTGGCTGCAGCTGTGGGTAATGCGGGAAAAGGTTGGCAGAGCAGCAATGTGCCCAGGTCCTGCCTGAATCTGACCACTGTGAAACCACTGCTCTGTGACTGCCAGTCTGCCTTAAGCTCTGTATGTGAGCGTGGGACCTGTCATTACTTCCAGAGACCACAGCTGTATCCATAGCAGGCTGCTTCCCCCAGGGCTCTCCTCACCTGCGCTCATACTTTACTCCAAACAAAAGCTGCAGACTACTATCCTCAAAGGGGATGCCAGCAACTGTGGGCTGATTTATGAGTTGCTGTCAGATACAGTGTGATAGAAGCAGGTTTGCAAGCTTTGCAGGGAGAACAGGTGGCTCTAAAGAAAGCTCTCCAGGTCATGGCTGTTGGTGATAAGTTGGCTAGCTGCAGCTTGGGAAATTGTATTTTCTGCAGCATCTGGAGGAACCCAAGACTGGGAGGAGATGGATGGGCAATGATTCTTCATGGCTCTGTCTCCTGCACAGGATCTAGATCACTGGGGGCAAGTTATTCCCTAGGTGGGCATCACCAACATTAGTGTTGTAGCTGACCCAGGAGCCCCACATAGGAGCCATGGCTATGATCAGTCAATCACATGAACCAAAACCAGAGAAATGACATGCATTTTGAGAGGCAGCAATTAACAGTGAGCAGATGTGAGAAAGAGTGTGAAGGGAAAGGCTGTGATAGATCCTCCCACTTTCCTCTGAAGCACCTGCTAGTGGTCACAGCTGTAAGAGTGCTGCTTGACCCAAGGACTTCTCTAACAGAATTATTTATTTGTGTTTGGCTCAAGATTCATGGCTTCCTGGGTCGACAGCCCAGAAATGGGATGTTCAATGCACTGAGCAGAGGGAGGAGAAAATTCACATTTGGCTTTCTGTTTTTCCCATTTTACAGCATTCCTGGAGTGAGATGAATAAATTCTACCCTTTGCCCATGAACACTTCTCAAAGAGTCAGTGTCAGAATTGTGGTTTCTCAGTAAAAGCTCTGGACCAGCTTTCCAAGTGGAGTGGGCAGATTGCGAACAGCTGAAGGACTGAGCAGCACCATTTGCCATGGTGAAGAGCCACCAGGCTAGAAGAAAACTTCTCGGCTCATTGCAGCCCTGATCTTGCAGGTGGCAAAGCCATATGCTAGAGCTACACTGACACAGCTGTGAGAGCTCTATTTATATGACATGGCTTATAAGCTTCTTCATTTGTCAGTCCACATGTGTGTGTCTCATGCCAAATCTCAAGTCTTCTGTACATGCCCCTGTTACCCAAGAAGATCAAGATCGGTCTTGGCATAAACTCTCTCCCTTGGGTTTGATTGTATTATCCTTTTGGGCTTTAGTAGGATGCCAGCATACCCTCAACCTTTTACAAAATTGCTTTTTTGTTGTCCTTCCTCTAAACCCCTTTCTTCACTTTGCAATTCAAACCCAGGCCTTCTGCATGCTGATCAAAGCATGGACCTGGATCCAGATGGTCACACCAGGACCTGACCAGCAGCAGGTACACATCTCACCTGGGACACACAGAAATGTTTCCAGAGATGAAACCTGGGATAAGTTTCATCCCTTATCTGCATGCTTTGCCCGTAATGGGAGACATTGCATTTATTGTATCTTGTTTTCAGCTGTCCCCAACTCCTAATGTTCCTGTTTCACAAACCATAAAATTGAAAGTCCCTGAATTAACTACTTGCAATTTGAAGGCTTTTGTTTTACCCTCCTTTAACCAGTTAATCTAATCTCTCGCAAAGAGATTAGAAGATGATTTTATATCACCATTTTATTTTAGGAGGGCTTTGGCTGCTACAACAGAAGAGCCCTTGTGGCTGGAATCCCTCCTCAAAGTGATTTGTGAATTGAAGGCAACTCCTCCTCAGCTCTCTGCCCACCACTGCATGAGTCAGGGAGCAGCTAGAGGAAGCTACAGGAGAGGTTTGCAGCTAGAGCCTTCCTCATGCATGGAAGTGGTTGGTAATGTGTGGGAATGTTCCCCTAAACATCACCAATGAGCACTGCCACACACGTTTCCTTAACAGCTCCAGGGACAGTGACTCCACCACCTCCTTAAGCAGCCTGTTTCAGTGCCTGACCACTCTTTTCTTTGCCTCTGTGCAGCCTTCCAGCCACTCTGCCCCAAGTCTGCAGCCGATGCCTGGGGTTGTCCTGAAGCACAGGGCTGAGGCTGCACTCAATTCCCTCATCCAGACTATCAATACAGATATTAAACAGCATGGACTCCAATAGTGACCCCTGGGGAACACCACTTGTGACGGGTCTGGCTTATGCATTTCCCTGAACATGACTGTGAAAAGCAGCTCTTGGCTGCTCAGAGTGAGACCAGCCGGAGGTCCTGAGTGAAGCTGGGAGTTGAAGTCTTGGAGCAAAGGTCTATCAGTGCCCTTATCCAAGGAGCAGCTAGGTAATAGGGAAAGGGCTAGCTAACCATGTGTGGGACAACCTTTCCAGAGATAACTAAACACATCTGGGCCTGATTTGTGCAAGTAGGATAGAGCATATCAGTGGAAGGTGAGGAGTAAGGGGTGAGATCCACTAATAGCAAATGCAGAGCTGCTCCCAGGTGGAGCAGGAAGCCTGCTTCTGCAGCAGCTTTAGGAACAAGAGACCTGCACAGGTTGCTGTGCAGGCACAAATCAGTTCCCAGCAGGGCTTGGCAGCAAGCAGTGAATCAAAACCATCCCTCTGGGGCACGGAGCTGCTCCAAAATGCACCAGTTTCACCTTGTTTAAAAATCTTCAGCCTGGGAGCACCACAGTCCCTACCCCCTTCATGATGCCCCCCCTTTCTGCATCCCTCTCCTGAAATTACATACAGCCCAGAAACCAGGGGTGCTGGCATCTGCTTGGATAATTTGGTTGACTGAGCATGACTTTGATTCATTTATTTTTTTGAGAGGGAAATATTTGCCTCAACTGGAGAATAATTCCCTCCCTCTCCTGAGATTGTCTTTAATAGCTAAATCTCAGCATGCTCACTCACTCTCATACCTCTGGAAACAATTGAATCAATTCCTTGTTTATAGAATGACTGTGTTTGTGCACAGTTGACAAAATAAAACTTGCCTTTTATTCTCCTGCTAGATCTCAATAGCATTTATCTTCAAAGAAAACTTTCACTAGATTTTGTGTGTTTCTTATTCTCCAGCAGAATGCACTTTTAGGGAAATGGGAAATTAAGTCCAGGGCAAGACATACTACTCACATGAAGGAATTCTGGTCCTGACCTAAATCCACTTTTTCAATCCTCAGTCCGTCTGATTTTCAGGAGCTGATAGCTGGAAGCGGACTTGAAATACACAACACAGACATTTATCTCATAGATCTCAATCACAGATAATGCACCGAAAGCTCTGCCTTGATAGTTGTTTTTCAGGAATCTGCTGATCTCTCAAACTCCTTTTGCTGAGGTTCATTTTCTCTGCTCTTAGCCATCTGGAGGGTGGAAAACCTGTACTCTTTCAGACTTAGAAGTGGGATGGCGTGAATCAATCCATCCTTGCAGTAAGGATTCCTCTGTCCTATTATAGATGTCTAATTTGGATGAGACAAAGCACACCAGGATCCCACATTTAAGAGGAGCCAAAGGTTACTTGCTTTCAGTAAGACACCCACATTTGGTCCAAAAATCCCTTGTATTGGTGCTGGAAACAGAATGCACAGCTACATATGAAAGGACCACCCAATACTGGGGCAACAGGGACTCACCCTGGACAAGGTGGATGATGGAGACCTGCGATGCTCCCTGGGAAGGGCCTGGAAGCTGTGCCTCCATGCAGCATCTCAGATGTCTATCATTTCTACAGAGAATCATGGAGTCATTAAGATTGGAAAAGACCACTAAGATAATCTAGTCCAACCACCTACCTACCACCAATATTACTCACTAAACCACGTTCCTATGTACCACATCTCCACACTTCTGGAATACCTGCAGTTATGGTGACTCCACCACTCCCTCGGGCAGCCTGTGCCAGTGCCCAACTACTCTTTCTTCTCCACACTGAACAACCCCAGCTCCCTCAACTGTTCCCATCACACTTGTGCTCCAGACCCCTCACAGCTCTGTTGCCCTTCTCTGGACCTGCTCAGGACCTCAATGTCTTCTTATAGTGAGAGGTCCAATGCTGAACACAGCACTAGAGATGCTGCCTGACTTGTGGTGTGCCAGAGAGACGATCACCTCCTGCTCCTGCTGTCTGCACTATCTCTAATGCAAGCTGGGATGCTGCTGGCCTTCTTGGCCACCTGGGCACACTGCTGGCTCATGTCCAATTGGCTGTCAGCTAACACCCCGAGGTCCTTTGCCTCTGCACAGCCTTCCAACCACTCTTTCCCCCAAGCGATGCATGGGGTTGTTGTGGCCAAAGTGCAGGACCCGGCACTTGATCTTGTTGAATTCCATCTCAGTTTAGACTTAAGTAGAGGCCAAAAAAAAAAAAAGAGAGAGAAAACTACTTATATTTTCCCAGTGTAAAAATAACACCAGTGCATATACACCATGTGGCTTAATCAGTTAATTTCCATGTTCTAACTTTCACATCACATTGGCAAAACATCCCAGCTCCTCCTGGAGCCAGGACAGTCACCCTGGGCAACCACGGCCCAGTGTTAGCATGGGTTTTGGCTCTCCCTATCAACCTTTGGCCCTCAACTTTGTCATGCCTTGCCTCTGCCAGCAATGTTCCCAGGGTTCAGGGTCAGCCATTGCCTGTACTTGACATGTGGGTCCCAGAGGCTTTGCTGACACCAGCATTCTGCCTGGCACAGCTGTCCTGTCCCAATTGCTCCTGAAAGGAAGCAGGGATTTTGAAAAGAAAAATGAGCGCTCACACAGAGCTATTCTGGAACAGCTATGATGCCTTTAATTCCCATTATGTTTCAAATAACAACCTCATGTAGACAGTCTTAAAATCAGTTCTGCCAAAAAATAAGTTTATCATTGTATTTCTCAGTGCTCATCAGTCAGAGCATGCTCCTGGCTGTGGCTCTTAGAAGAAGCTTCTGCTGGGTTTTCTGTGCCTTGAGTTTACTGCTGGCCACTAATGTCAGAGTGCTGGTCCTGTGAAAGCAAATTTGAGCAACTCCCTTGACAGGATAGGAGGAGGAGTGGCCTTGAGTTGTGCCAGGGAAGGTTCAGGTTGGATATTAGTAACGATTTCTTTTCCAAAAGAGTGGTGATGCATTGGCACAGGCTGCCTGGGTAGGTGGTGGAGTCACCAACCTGGAGGTGTTGAAAAACCATGGAATGTGGTTCTGAGGGACGTGGCTTAGTGGTAGGTGTACAGTTGGATTAGATGACCTTTGTGATCTTTTCCAACTTTGATGATTCTGTTATTCTATGATAGGCTGCAGAGTGTTGTCTAGGGCAGCTTTTTTAACCTGTGCATTTTGACCACATAGAGACCTTGCTAAACACATTCAGTAGGTAGTTGTGGACAAGAAACAGCATTAGCCAGCAGCAACATCATTCTTCCTGCATGGGAAATGAGAAGAACCTGCTGGTTACCAGAGCTCACCCCAGCTGGGGAGCTGCCTTGAATTGCCAGCCATGGGTGCGTGCTTTATCCCTGCAATCAGTGAACACCAGCACATCTCACTCCCTGCCTGGAGGGACCAACCTGCTGCTGGATGGGCTGGCTGGAAACTGGTCCCAGCACAGGGAAGTTTGAAAAGCACTGATATATTTGGAAAAAAGAAATGCAATGAAGAATAGCCTTATCTTCAGATTGATATAAAGCATAGCTATTTTTACCTCGGCGTATCTAATTTTTATGTGTAATCTAAGATAATCACACCATGGAGGGAAGGTTGTACCATTGTAAGTCCACAGCAAACTTCTCAAAGCAAGCTCCAAGGAGGAGATAATCTTTTCCTTGTCTAGTTTGTTTGGAAAGTAAATTGAACTCAATGGTTCTCATTGTATATTTACCCATTGTATGCATATCAGTTCTCAGTGGTACAAAGTACAACTTTTTCTGCCATGCAAATCAGTTCACTTGGTTTTGCTGCTCTCTTGACTCAAAGTGATTTTTAAAAGTATATATAATACAATATTTTGTCAAAAGTGTGGGGTTTTTTTTCAGCTGAATTTTGCTGTAAATGACATGAGAAGCTGAAGTCTGTATTCCAGTGAAAAAAAAGAAGGGTCTTTGTTTCTATTTTTTGTTAGCATTCGCAGTACAACCTACTTTGCACAGGAGCAGGGATATTTTCTGCTTCATCTCAAGCCAAGGACTGTGCAGTTTGTGTTACAGTGAACACAATTACGGAATTGCATGGTCCCCCATTCCTCCTTTGCAGAGGGAGATGTTGTTTCCACCAGGCTGGTAGGAATATTGATAATATTTAGAAAGGAGCCTGAATTGCTGCCCTGTAAAACTCATTGTGTAAAGATGCTTCTGGCTTGGAGAAATACAGAAGAGAAGAACTGACCATACTCACGATTAATTCATTATGTTGATGCAGAGTAGAGTGATGTAAACACAAGTGTGAACTCTAACAGATGGTTAAAACTATATCAGTGGGAACATTTATAGGTGGCTCTATCTATTGACTTATTATCCATTTATGAAAACACACAATCACTTTGTAGTCCTTTACTAGCTATTAAAACAACTGTCGTGTGAACTGTTCCTGGAAAAAGACATACCTTACCTCTCATCAAAGTGTAAGATGGAAATTTTTTTGCTTTTTTTCTTTCAAAGTCAGTCTGGATGGTACAAAGTGCAGTGATGGAGGGGAGAAAAAGATACACATGAACTCTGTACAAGCACGGACCGGTAGGACCCAAATGACACAGCCTTTCTTTCACTACCTGCTTCTCTTGTGCCCTCACAAAACTTAATAGAGAGGGAGGCAGCAAGATTTTGGGGTCTACCCTCAGCAGCGACTTAGTCATGATTTATGAGCTGAAGCAATGAGATGTGATCTCAGGGGTGAGGTGAGGTGAAAGGTCTGATGAGGGGAACCCACCTGATACCTTCCATGTGTCAGCTAATGTAGGTGGGAAGAACCCTGTAGAGGTGTGTCTTCTGTGCAAACATGCTTCCCTGTGAGATTTATGGGGCTCCAGACTTAGTTGACACCACCACAAGTCTATTTCTTCACATAGTGCTTCATCTTTCCCCAATTGGAAGACAGCATGGAAAAGAGGGGAAAAAAGCCATAAACAAATATTTCCATTTTAAGCACAATGTCCACATAGGTAGAGCATTTTGGGGCTGTGGGGGTGGAATATGTTTTTCCCTCTTGGTTTTTCCTCATCCCTAATCTCTTGGTCCTCTTCAATGTTTCCCTTCTCTCCATGGTTACTCTACACAAACAATTTCCCTGCTGACTTGGTCAATGCAAAACTGCCATAAATATGCACTGCAGATGCAACGTATTACTCACCCATGGGGTGACTCATCTGGAGCTCAGCAAAGTATGGCAAAGAGCCATAGTGGGGCCTGTGAGTCAGCAAGGCTGATTTGCTTTTGAACTCACACCTACAGTGAGTGGAAGCACAACTCAGTGTCTTCTGCAGAAACCCAGGGAGCACTGCATGGGTGGCCCTGATGGCTCATTCAGGAGATTACTGGAAATTAAAGGAGGAAAGGCCTTGACTGATATTCTTGTTGTCACTGGCAGAGGGATTGTGTAATGAAAAGGTGGCCACTGTGATCAGATGCAGAATTCAAGCCTAAGCCTTCCACCTGGCTGTGGGTGGGCACAGCAGGCTGCAAGAACAGAAGGAAATCCACATAAGTGATGTGCCTTCTTGTAACAGAAAGCAAGTTTTGCCTTGTGAGTCCATATACCATGCATTTTCTCATATCATTGACACTAACTCAGCCACATCCCAACTACATCCTGAGTCAGAATGGTCTCAGCATCCTCTGAATGCTGAGAAGTATCCTCTATTCATGGTGGACTGTTCGTTCCCAGACATGAGATCATGGTTCACAAGAGTTCAGGGGACCTTCCCCAAAGTGATTAGGTTTTCATGGTGACAGATTAAGGAAAATGTTGCTGGACAATATAATCAGCCAATACAGTGGGCAAACAAAGAATATAGCAAGGGA